AAAGCTATGGAAAATTATGATATTTGAATGCAATGAAAGTATAGATGTTGTGAAGTGAATTGGTGAGAAAAGCAGACCCAAACACCCCTTTTTATAGTGCAAAATTAGGCTCCAACGGACCAATGCATTAAAGGAGTGATTAGCTTGATTTATGGGATTGAAAAGATTTGGGATCTGCAGAATATTGGCTTCCCATCGATGTTTGGGACTTACCCATCGCTGGTAAGCCAATTTTCCTTCAGTTTTGAAGTCAACGGTCACCTACCCATCGATGGGTACAAGCTTCCCATCGCTGGGTGGGAGGTTGACTTTCCAAACAAGGAGAGAATAAACCGTTAATGACCACCAACGGTCATGCCTTCCCATCGATGGTATACCCTTACCATCGCTGGGTTCCCATCGATGGGATAGACTTCCCATCGCTGGGCAAGGTCGTTATGCCTTGTGGTAATTTTGCATCGAGGCTCTAACAGCGATGGGTGGAACTCACCATCGCTGTTTGGCATGGTTCTGGAAACTAGTTTGGCTGAGGAGCCGCTTACCCATCGATGGGAAGATGTTCCCATCGCTGGGTGAGTGGTTAGTCAAGAACCCATGGTTTTTGCCTTAACCACGGCCTAACCAACCGATGCGAAACCCGACCGAAAAATTTAAAGTTCTCCAAAATAAAAACCAAGTGTTTAAAACACTTATTTGATGTTTTTGGCTAATAAATCGAGTAAGACACTTTAAAAACCACGTCATTTAAGTGAAAACCACGGCTAGCCAAGTTTTATGCCGTTTTGAATGATTTTTGTCAAACGATCAAAAGCGAAAGATGGTTTTCAAGGTGTTTTTGTTGGAGAACCGTTTAAACATGCCAAAGAGTAAAAACCAATCATAAAAAGTTGAAAACCACTTGGTTGGTTCGGACGCCAAAAACCATAGCCGANTTGAGACTTTAAAAAAGTGTTCCCCCTTAATAGATGCCATTTTATTTGAAAAAATAATTCCATTTTATTTGAAAAAATAATTCCCCCTCAATTTATGCATAACCTTGATATCTTCCCCCTTTTGACATTAACAAAAAGAATTAAAAGTAAACTTTGGAGTATAAAAGTAAACTTTTATTCATGAAAAAAGGAGAAAATGCGGAATACAACGGAATGGAAATAATAATAAACAACAATCATAGGAAGGAAGGAAAATAAAGAAGAGTTTAGGCAGCGGCGTCCTCGTCCTCGGCGTCATCGTCTTCTTCGTCGTCCTCAACGTCCATGGGATCCCCGTCGACCGCGTCCTCAAAATCGGCCTCGTCGGGGGAGGAGGATGGTGCATAGGAGTTATCCTCCTCGTCCTCGCCTTCATAGTTTTGGCCGAGGAAGGTGCTGTCAAAGGGCGGCGGAACGTAGTTGACGTCGCGAAAGAACGCCGTCATGTCGTGGTGTTGGCGTTGCAGCGTCCAGTCCATCCGCTCGATTGACTGCCCCATGCCATCCACTGTGAGGGTTAGCCGATTCAGAGTATCGGCTATGGACTGTAAGGATGCCTTGGCGGGAGCGGGGGCAGGGGCAGGGGCACGGGCACGACTCGGTCCAGCGCCGGTTCCGTCACCGGACTTCTTCCGGAAGGTGCTGTCTTGGATGATCCAAATCTTTGTCATCTTCGTATCCGGGCCGGCGATGGAGATGTCGGCGGAGATGATGAGGTCCATGACGAGGAAGGCGTATGGCAAGGTCCGCTCAGTGGCGATGGAGGCGCAATCCGCCATGTGAATCATGACGTATTTTGCCCAATTGATCGATGCGCCGTGGGTGATAGCATGAACCGCCTTGAGATCCTCGTTGAAGAGACATGTGTGGCTACCGTCCCGGGGGCGAAGAATCCGGGTGAGGATGTAGAGAAGAAGACGCTTCTCCGGCGGGGCTGAGTGGATTGTTGGTGCGCCGCTGTGACGGATGAGGTTGGTGATCCCAAGCTCTCGGATGACCACAGTCTCGTTGTTGAGGATCCAATCATCGCCGCCATATGTTGTTATGTCGACACCGCGGGTGGGCAGCCCTGCGACCCGAGCGAAGGTAGCCAGATCAATCTCTATGTCGTAGAGATTGATGCTACTGCGAATGGTGTCCCCGTCCTGGCGGAGATTGGAGTAGAAGGCTCGCACAAAGGCGGGATTGATGCTCGAGCGGCTCCTGGAGACGAACGACCACAGACCCGATGCTTGAAGCTGGTTGTCGAGGTCGTGGTACCCCTTTTGTTGAGGGTACAACTCGGGCAGGACCCTAGGCGGAGAAATGGGGCGCTTGGCAAAGTGCGTGAGGAACCGGTTGAGTTCCTCCTCCGACCCGAACTCCAAGAAGGATCCGTCCAGGTATGGAAAGGGTTGAGGCGCAGAGCTCGTAGCCTCGGCGGCGGCCTTCTTCTTCGAAGCTTTTGTCTTCTTTCCTCCGTCCATGATTGAAGCAAGAATTTGAAGAATTGTGAAGAATAAAAGATGAACTATGAAATATGGAGGAGAATTGTGAGGATGAATGACCAAATATGGTGAATATATATAGGGAAGGAGTGGAAAAACCGAGAAGAATTCAAAAAATATGACTGTTGGGCATTTAATCTATTGCCCAACGGTTATTTTTTTTTGAATTTTGGCAGGCTCCCATCGATGGTATGAACTAACCATCGATGGGATGATCACCACTGGAAAGCACGGAAGAGATTAAGGCTGCCTTCCCAGCGATGTTTGCATTTTCCCATCGATGGGAAGGTGGCTTCTGGAAAAGAGAGCATGGCCTTCCCAGCGATGTTAATACCATCCCATCGCTGGGTTGGTAGTTTTGAAAATCCGTTAAAGAATATTTTTTTTTTAAAAAAAAATAGTGTCAAACACCCAGCAATGGGAGGAACTTCCCATCGATGGGTTTGGAGGTTTTGAAACAAAAACAGGAACTCACCCAGCGATGGGATAAAGTTCCCATCGATGGGTTGGGAGGTTCTGAAAAAAAAAATTTGATAAAAGTCCTTCACCCAGCGATGGGACAAAGTACCCATCGATGGGTTAGGGTGTTCTGGAAATCCGTTAAGTATTTTTTAAAAAATTAGAGTCAATTACCCATCAATGGGAAGAAGAAACCATCGATGGGAAGAGGGGTTCTGGAAAAAGAGAAACTTCCCTCCCAGCGATGGTATGGCCTACCCATCGCTGGTTCCCCCTGATTTCCAGAGTTCTTCACTTCGAACCGTCCCTGCAAAAAAGAGTTAGAAAACCCTCCGACGCTCAAGTTAGTAAACGTTCTATTAACAATAAAAGAATGATATAATGCACAAATTAGATCATCGTGGAGTCAAGGATTCCGAGTTCGCTACGAATGCGGAAGAACGACTCTTTCTCTAAAGGTTTTGTGAAAATGTCGGCCAATTGGTTGTGTGTTTCAACAAACTCAATTTCGACATCACCTTTGAGAACATGATCTCTAATGAAATGGTGCCTAATGTCAATGTGTTTCGTCCTTGAATG